TTTAAATTTTGGATGTGAAATCGTTGCCAAAATGTAGGGTTTGGATTTACTGTTGTTCAAGTCCAAAATATCCTTATACCTTGTATGTATATCATCAAGAATAGCATTTTTGAGCGGTGTGCAGTAAATTAGATGACTTAGTGAATTTAAAGTTTTTTTAATTTGAAGTAAAATAGGAATTACATAGCCTACATAGCAAATGTCCTCACTTTGCAGGAAATCTAAAAATTTTGCAATCGGTCCTATTACGGTGACATATTCAACTACACTGTTAGAAATTTCTCAATGAATTTATTGCAATAGGTCCCATTACGGTGACATATTCAACTACACTTTTGGAAATTTCTTTAACTAAATTACAGTAGTCTTAAATGTGATGAACGTGTGTATTGAAATTAATGAACACACATTGTTATAGAAATTAATTTACACGTTAATGAAAAGTACGAGATCTGTAACTGAAAAGTAATTTACGTTAATGACATGTAAGAAACGTAAAAATTTATATGTTAATGAAAAATACGAGATCTGTAACTGAAAAGTAATTTACGTTAATGACATGTAAGAAACGTAAACATATTAACCGTTAAGCGTTAATAGTATTAGGCTTAATTAAAATATTATTGATAAATGTAAAAGTACATTAAATTTCATTAATATGTACATTAATAGTTATTTCAATTACGATTAATTAAATGTCATTTATATTCGATTATTAAATGAAAAGTATATTAAATTTCATTACACTTAATTTTTCAGTTACTGTAAACTTAAATCTCATTAACATGTGCATTAATAGTCCTTTCAGTTACAGAGAAATTAAACTTCATTCACCAATGTACATTAAAAGTTAATGAAATTTAAGAACATTTCTAACAGTGTAGAAACTCAATTTCACTGCTTTTTAATTTAGGTTTCTGGAGTTTCTCGCAAATTGCCCTGGGCAAATTTGCGTGTGGGCAAATTATCACAGATAGGGCCCGGAGGTAATTGAAGAACATTATCGATAATTGATTCAGGAGACGTTGATTAGCTATCGCGCCAACTTCTGCCGCAAGCGTTGCCGCGTTCTGTCTGCAGGAGTCATTAATGGCGACGATAGTATTTGTGTATAAGTACCTTGTATCTATGTATCTAAAATTTAAAAGATACCATATCAAAAAATAACTAGATACGGATACAGGTATCTCCGCCTATAAGGATTTAGATAATGCACTTAGGTATAGCTAAAGTATCTAGATACTGTATCTAGATACTTTTACCTAGATGCGTTCCAACACTGATCGGATCTAACTTGTTGGAATATCTTAATACAATCGCAGAACAGAAGTAGATACGCATGGCATAATTCAATGGGTTTCCTTTTCTTATACCCCTCTGGCTGACTGCGCTTGTAGGAGCTGCTCAGTTCACCCCCCCCCCCCCCCCCCTCTCCTTCGAACTAATTGCGCTTGTAGGAGCTGCTTCCCAGCGAGAAATGACTCATCGAAATGATATCAAATCGACATCGTAAACATGTTTTGAAAATTGATCGAAATATTCGTCAATTTCGATGAATTCGTCGTACTTGATTTAATGAATTTCCGGTGCTCGGAATGATTCAACTTCGATGAATTTTCGACGTCCAAAACAATTCAATTACGATGAATTTTCGATGCTTACTATTAGCGTTTTCGAATGGAATGGGTTTGAACTTGACCCGGGTCGAATCATTGACGTCACGTGCACTGTTTCAGGTTACTAAGGTTATGATCCAAACCTGAACCTTGTTCGATTGAATAAATAAGAGATACCCGTATAATATGTAATAGAGAAAAATAGCTTACAAATAAAATTTATATAAGTTATCCCTTAGTTGATGGAAACAATTTAATATTTTTATTTGTCAAAATAAAATATTTGATTATTGTTGAATTTGATTATTGTTGAACTCAAATCATACAAAAAATTAATTACTATGATTATTGTTGAATATTTGATTATTGTTGAATTTGATTATTGTTGAACTCAAATCATACAAAAAATTAATTACTGTGTTTATTATAAAATGTTTAGTAGATAAACTAACATCAAACAAATCTGCAACGTTACGCATTACACATTTGTTGACTGCAAACCTAAAAACATAAAAATAAGAAATAAATATTGAATTTGTGTTTAAAAAAAAATTATTTTTTTTAATGTGTAATATATATATAATGGTAATATTCTGTTTGTATACCATAAAAAACATAAAATATGTTCTGTAGCCGTTTTTACTTTTCTACCTCTTATTTTTTATTCTGAAGGACAATATTTACATTCTTTGAAAGCATCAATAAGGAAATTACATGTCTCACGAGATATACGAAAACGAGATTTAAACTATAAATAAATAAAAGTGTAACGCTATATCTGTGCAAAATTGTTCATATCACACACATAATTTTTCATATTTCAAAATTAAAAAGATTTTTTAAATGATCAATGCATATAAATTATTAACCTCTTTATCATCATATTATTCAACTACTTGAGTAATAAATGCTTTTATACGAGGTACTTTTTTTTCGCAATTTTACATATTGCTCTTGCATTTATTTGTTTATCTTTATCATTAGAACTGTCCGATGAAAATAAAAACTCAATCACAGCGATTTTCAAGTGGTCGTCCATTTTATTTTAAACGTTTCTGGATTGTAAGTTTGTATAACCAAAATCACTAGAACACTAGTCAGGTAAAAACACAACCTCGATCAAACATGATTTCATGGCACAATTAGATTAACCGACCCGGATCGGGCTCAAATCCACTTCATTCGAAAACGTTGTATGAGTCAATTTCGATTCATTGTCGACTTAAAACGAAAATATTTATGACATCGTATTATGATATACTTTAAGAACAGAAAAGTAACGCGTTACTTTTTAAAATTGGTAACGGTAATGAGTTACTTTTTTCAAAAAGTAACGATAATGCGTTACTTTTTTGGAGATAACGCGCACAACCCTGAATTATATATAAATATGCGTGTGTGAGCTAGGGATGTGCGATCTCCATTAATTGGATCGATTTTTGAATCGATTTAGAATCTGATTGATTGAAATCGATGATTAAAGGATCGGAGCTGAATGAATCGATCTATTGAAGATCGATTCAATTAAAAATTTTTTTGTGATAACACACACATCTTACGAGAAATGTCAATGGAATAAATGTCGAATCGATGACAATTTGATGATTTCTTACTGGGATTGTAGAAATTCAACAAAAACAATTAAAACATGATTCTAATTTGCCTCCGAGTAAAATCATTTTAATTTAAAATAAAAATCTAGATTTAATCTAACATCTGTAGTTATGACATAAATCAATTATATTAACATAAAATCGATATAATATCGTATTATATATAAATTCAATTTGAT